GTGCCACCAAGGTCAGAGGTTATTTTTTGTGACTTTGAGTGAAATGTCTCAACTCTTGGATGGATTGTGAGGACATTTGGCATTGATGATCATGAGCCCTGTAAGATGTTTGTAACAACTTTGATCCCCTGACTTTTCACCTTGCACCATCATCAGGCCAATATTTGTATATGTGTCCAGTACTTTAGTTTATGACTAAATATCACCAAACTAATGACATTCATCCTCTTCCAATTATCAAATCTTGCTAGCACACTAAAGAGAGACGGACTAAGAACAATAAACAATATACCTGCTAAACATGTTAACAAATGTGAGCATGTTTGCATTTAGCTCAGTGCACAGCCAGATACAGTAGCATGGCTGTAGACTCTCTTTAATCTGACTCTCGGAAGTTCTCCACCTTCATAGAAGTGAAATGATAAACTTCTAATCAATTTATAATTAAAATACCAGACGCCACTTACAGAAGCTAAAATGACAGCTACTCATAGAAGTATAAAGCCATATGACAAGTAAAATGGATAAAACGTTTTAAAATTGTGGAAAAGGTTTAAAATCTATCACTATACTTTAGTTAGTGACAGTATAAAAATACGATTTGGCAAATTATTGCTTCAAGGATTCAACAGTAAATCTACTGTGTGCTCACAAACCACCAGATGCAGTTCAACACACATCCCCCAACCTACCTTGTAATTTCCCTCTGTGTTATGTAAAGCACTCGCAGCGAAATCACAAGTGTGTGTGTGTCTTCGCCTTGATGCTCTTTAAACCGGCTGGATATAAGTGGCCGCAGATACTGAGGGGAAACCACACAGACTGCGTAATAACAATGTGTGTGAATTCGATAAACCCTTTTCTCACGGGCACTAGAACCACCCTTGCGGAAAATGTGATTACAGTTCTCCACAGGAGGTGCAATGTGGGACGCTGTTGCAGGGGGTAAACTTGGCTTGTCATTGAGACCGCAGTTTGTCTGCTGCTTCATTCCCGCTTAACAACTTTAACACGCATGTAATGTCCAAGGAAGGCTGCGGACGAGGTGTTTCTGTCGTTTTCTCTGTCTGCTTTTGAAGCAGAGCGTGAGCCAGTTGCTAATGACTCAATGATGCGTAATGTGTATGACACCATGTGTTGTAGCCTCTTTGGTGTAAACTGACTTTTAAGTTGAAGGGAGCTCAGACACAGAATAAAACACCAACATACTGTGGTCACAAAGCGGAGGGGTTTTAGCTTGAGCCAGAATGCAAAACGCCTGCCAGCTGCCAGAGGCTTTTTACAGCCTCGTGATGGATACATATTTTACTGAAAGGGAAAAAAAAATACTCACTTACAATGCAGTTGAAGACTGGTATGATAACTGCTATTTGAAAAAAGGTGGAAATATCTGACCTTGATCTTAATGAATTTCTGACATTTAGCTTATTGCTGCACTGACTGATTGCTGAAGTGGTTTTAATGTAACCTAATGTAACTCCTACACATATATAAGAGGTCGCCACTGTATGACAGAAAAGCTAAACCAATTAGTTATGCTTTTCTTTAGCAGCCTTGCTCCTTTTCCACTACCACACATTGGTATTCCACAAACTAAACAATATCTGACCAGTAGATATAATTTGACCCTTTTTTATTCATTTATCTTAGTGCTCAATATGCTGAAGTATGTAAGTGAAGGGCCTTTGAAGGGTCACAAATGATTACCTTAATTTAATAATTTCTTAATAATTATTTTAATCTAGAAGTTGGCCTAACTGATTTTAATAGTCTGTTCATTATAATGATTGGGATTTTTTTTAAATGTGAACCTTAATTTTGGTTTGGTTTTCATTTTGGTGGCATGAAGTAGTTGGATACGGTTATCGACGACAATGATGTGCTTAGCTCCTCTCATGCACTGCGTGTTCGTGTGTAGCTAGGGCCAAGAAAGTTTCCCCCTCTTCCATCAGTTCTGCCAGGTCTTGATTCTTAAGTCTGAATCAGTGGAATCATTCATTTAGTTCACTGCAATATTGACTTGAAAACAGCCAAGCCAACACTTTTCTTTGCTAAACAAGCTTTAATGGAAGACATGGCCACATTGCTACCAAATTGATTGATAGATTCTTATAGATATGGCCTCTCATATTCATCAGAACTTTGCATTATGTGTTTAAGACATTAGGCCATTGTCAAAGTCAAGTACTCACATTTTGTCATTCTGTATCAGGTTATTAAATCATGACCTAAACTGTAAAGCATGAGTTATTACCTCTATACCATTGGTTTGCAAAACCTTCCAACTCTAAACAGGAAAATATAAAAGTAGAGGGGATGTATGTGTTGCAGCTTGCAAAGATAGAGCTCACACAATCTAAGAAACTGCTAGTTTTTGGCAAAGCTACTAACTCGCCTATAGGTAGGCAGCTGCTCATGCTAGCTATGTTCTGAGTACATTGCAGAAAAAACAGCAATGGTCTTAAAATAGTAAATCAGTCAGATATGAAAGAACAATAATTTCTTAGTCAAAAGTGGGGTAGAAATGAATTAAATCTGGTCTTTTTGATACATTATGTTTGAAAGTGTAATTGCAATAACTGAAGATAGATCTCCAATACTTACCTGATCCAGAGAGTTAACTGATTCTCTGGTTTGGCATCATGACATTAAATAACAGAGTATAACAGGTTGACAATTCTGTCTGATATCAGGACACTCCAATACAGTAAACCCAAGATGTTTATATCCCCTTAGTCTGACTCACAGGAAGTAGACTGTGTGTATAAGCCAACATTTATTTTGTAAGGGCACCATCTCTAGATCCTGGGCTTTGCACTGCCCAGGACGATTGTGATAGGTTGGCCAAACCTTTCTTCAAGCGTTGGCACAGTGCTAGAACAGAGTGTGGAGATGGCACTATGTAAGATGCAAGACTAACATCCCTTACAACCCTCTATTATACATTTGTAATGGCAGTGCATTGATACAGTGCATTGCCATTGTGGCCTTAAGTTGTTCCCCTTGTTGCCACAGTCTACCTGTAAGACAGGCTTACTGGGTTTCATTATCTGATAGAGCAGGAAGTCCCCTCCAGAGTTTCACATCAACATATACAGGCTGCTAAAGAAACACTGTAATATATTGAGTTAAACCTCCACCTTATCAAGCTGCTGATTTGTAAATGAACCAGTTACTGATCAGATGGATGCACACAAAAAACAAGAACAAACAGATTTCAATGCATTATGAATGTTATTTATAGGCATCTTGTGTTGTTATAATGAAACAGCATTCTCTTGGCGTCTGTTAAAGTCTCAATTCCCTCAGCCATTTTGTTAGCTTAAATGTGCAGCACAGCAGGTAATTGCTCGGAGCAGTGTCTTTAAATGGAATTTGAATGAAGACCGCTAATGACAGTGGGTCAATAATCTCTTATTTGGATTCTCTAGCTGCTTCTTCTTAAAAGCTAATAATGACTTCATGAATGGGCAAGTCTCAGGTGATCAGCATCAACCCACCATCCACCTTCTCAGATCATTTCGGCTTGAATATTTCCAGTCAGGCAAGGTTTGAGGAGAGTCTCTTAGGTGAGTGTGCAGTGCATCCTGTGTTGGCGTTGTTAACACTGGCATTGACAGACAAAGCCCAGTCGGGGACCCACTAAAAGAGGGAGGCTTAGATTGTTCTTTTGTAGGGTCCCCCGGTCGACGGAAAACTGTTGATGAGCAAGATCTGCCCCAGAAATCAAAGCACGGTTGGGGGTGCGCCTGCGAGTCTTCCACTCATCAGACTGACATCCTCTGCAAGATCATGAGCAGGAAAACACGGTGATGAATCTGAACCGAGAGAACAAGGTGTGTCAGGAGTCCCTGGAGAGAGGCATGGAGGGAACAGTAGTGCAAATGCGTATAAGAGAGAGTCAGTCAACGGCAGCGTTGGCTAGAAAGCCTGGATCATGTCGTTCTTGTGTGGGAGGGCAAATGCATGAGAGAAGCAGCATATAAACATGTCAAAGGATGAGCACTGAGTGGGTTTGAAACAATGTTTACTATCAGTGGATGAAGAACAGAGGAGTAACCTGTCATTCATTCCTTCAACACCGACTACAGCAGAGCCACATTTCCCAACTACAATACATCCTCATCACTTTGAGCCGTATGTGGTCTTTTTTTTTTTTTTTTTACAGCATTTTACCTTTCTGCATGTAAAATGACCATTTCATGCTTGACCTTGAAAGTTAAGCATCCTTTTCGCATACATGAAGCTGAGCACAAACACATTCATGTACACATGCACACCCACACGCTTACTCCCTCACATATTTGCAAAGCAAACAAACAATACAGCTCTCAGAGTGTGTGTGTTCTTAGGAAGGCAAACAGCTTGTAGGGACGACTGGCCACAAAAATAAAGAGAAAAGAGACGAATAATGCGCGTTCAGTCATTGCCGAGATTATAATGTCACTTGGGAGCCTGGGCCCTGCACAAACACCCTGCTGTGCTCTATTTCAATAACTTTCCATAAACCAATCTAATCTCCCCTCCTTCCTACAAGGCGCTTTAAGGAGATTTTTATAGGCTTTTGTTTGAGAAGCAGATAATTCTTTATAAATCATAATAGCACTGCCTGAATTGTGAAAGGTTTCATAGCTTAGTGGCATGATTGGCTCACAGCAAGTACATATGTAATAACACCTAACCATTGTTTAGGATGCGAGTGTGATGGCCTTGTTTCAGACTGTCACAATCCAGAGGTTAACTTGTTGTTCATGTTGTCACAGAGGTAAAATATGTACAGTCCATTGTGTGTTTCCTCATGTAGGCCACTTCAATGCATGCAGTATTATTCAGTAAAATATTCACTAGTACGTTGCATGTGACCTCACATGACCTTCTCTTTGAATTTCCTACGCATTACCTCCAACATGATAATAGGAAATAACTCTTTCAGTGATGGAAGTAAAATATTGGTGTAGAAAATGGGCTTTTAACAGCGTTCTTTTATTTTATTTCTATAGGCTGCTTGTCCATTGTGCTCTGAGTGTGAATGTGGGGCCGTGAGGTGTTTCCGAGGGACCATATGGCACAATACCACACAATATAGGTAAGAGTTTCCTTCATTTTGTTTTTGATGATCATAGAAATAGTGTAAGGCCCTAAAGTACCCCTCAAATGTCCTTCGCCTCTTCTTATCAAAGCATGTACAAAGCAACCTTAGGCCAATGCAGAATATTCACTGTTCAGAGGACTTTTAACATGATAAAAGTGACAGAAACCCTTAGGGGGAGGTGATAAACTTGAGCCGTTAACACCAGATTTGGTCGGTGAATTATTCTTACACTCGCTCTCTTTCACCCTGGAGTGATGCTTAGTATCTGGAAAATGAAACATTTTGTAGTGTTAGCATGAATTAGTAGTTCTACAAACATAAAATTGTCTCGTGAAAAGAATAATTGCCATGACGTAAATAAGTCACGTCCATGCTTCACTGCCTGCAATTTCAATTTTCTCTCTCTCTTCATCTCATTTCTATCCACTGTGTAGCACAAACAAAGCAAATGAAGTAATAGCACCTCCCACTCACATTATAAGCTTGCATATTAAGCTTTTTGCAGTATATTTATTCTATCATTGTAGTGATAGAACGTTGCATGCTCCCAGCACAGACTGCACCTACCTAAATCCATAGTGTCATTGCCAGTGAAAAAGTGAATCAAATGCACTTTATACACCCCATTCCCTCACAACTCATCATCATCATCATCATCAACATCATCCTCATCACCATAGTGACATTTAATATTCTGTCTTCAAAGATATATGTTACACATGACTTCTAGGATAACTTCAGTCACAGTAAACAGTCACAGTCACAATAAACTAAAGCCAACAATTTTCACACAAAGGTCATTTTACTCGTCATTAGAACTACTCCACTTCAAAGAAAACTTTTGTCAGAAGACTTCTTGTCCATGTTGGATTAAAAGTTTAAAAGCGATCAACATTCTTGTCGGCAGGAGAGACATGGACTTATTTAAGGCCCTAAACTCAGGGAATATTTTGACATTTTAGGAAATACACTGATTTGATTTCTTGTGGAGAGTAAGATGAAACACATCTCAAATGTAGCAGCAGCTGGTTAGCTTAACTTAGCATAAACACTGGGAACAGGAGGAAAACTGTTGGCCTGGATCTCTCCAAAGGTTACAAAATCCACTTATCAGCACTTCAAAGCTCGCTGATTAACACTTTATATCTCATTTGCTTAATCCATACAAAAACCGACTCAGAAGTTCAAAGCAAGGCTACCTGTTCCCAACTTCCAGTTTGTATGTCTCCTGGTCCTAAAGCTTTATATTTAATGGACACATGTGCACCGGAGTTTCCAGACTTTTAAATGGGGGGATTTATGCAGGGGATTTATAAAATATGTGTCTTAGCTTTCTAATCATTCCCAATTTATACAATTCCAATACTGTTAAATGCCCCTTTTATGCAGAGATATTAGTGAAATAAGTGAAAATAACACATTTGTACCACATGCAAAAAAAACATGCTTTTTGCCTAAAACGGTATGGGATTAGGATAAAAGGGGCATGTCTGTGTCTTGTGGGTAGAAAACCCCTCAGAAAGCTTGAGGTCAGAGGTCAAGGGATGGCCATGCCAGTTTTCCCATCGCCAAAATGTATCCCTATTCCTGACAAGCTAGCATGATAATATGATACCAGTATCAGTATCAGTATTCACTCTAGCTATAAAACAAGCCCACGACAGCCTCTGAAAGACAGTGCAAAGTGGAAGAGGTAGGGATAATGGAGTGGCACTTGTGGTGGCCGATCGGATTTCAGGAGTGGCCAGTGCCCCCCCTCAAGGAACACCCCTGCACATATGACATCTTCCCATCCAACTCTTAGCAGGAAAGCAAATAAAAATATTTACCCAAATGCCAAACTATCTTTAATCAATACAACTGAGATCAACCTGCCAGAAGGATAATACTAACAATGGAGGCACGATATGCAAGTCATTGGAAGCTAAGGCAAAAAAAATGGTTTAAGTCTCGATTTAAATGATTCAACACAGTCAAACAAAGGTTTCTTACTTTTGGGGGGTGGGAGGGTTTTACTTAACGGAACCAAGGGTCTAAGAATAGATACATTTGTGAAGCAGATTTTGAATTTAGGGCTATTTAAATAAAACATGAGTAGATTTAAGTTGCAATTCAAAGCTCTTGACCTTAAAAACAACAACTTAAACAATCCCAATTTCATCACAATGACCACTCAGTAGCTGTTGGAGCTTTGGAGCTTGATTATATGGCACAATATTTCACAGCACTGATGTTTTGAATGGGCTGACAGTACAGTATTCTGATAATAGCAGGAAATAACCAAAATAACGTGTATAGTGCCACCTGACGGGGGTACAGTTTTTGTGCTGTCCAGTACTAAAATACACCCATGTAGCCTGTGAATCTGCATGTAATGATAAAGAACACTATAATAATAATAATAATAATAATATAAATAATAAATATTAAATATTATTTTAACTGCCTCAAAGTGAGGCTTTTGCTGTCATTGATTACTGTAAGGTAAGAGTCAGATTGGGCCTCGGTGGAAGCTGTCCTACATTCTTGACGCACACTTTGTTAAATCTGTCCGATACAGGAGATTCAAAGTGATCAAAAGAGTGCTTTCATGCTTTTGAAGTGTAATGCATTGTCACTCAGGAGGTTTGCGAAAGGTCATGCAAATGTGAAAAAAAAATAAGATGAGTACATGCAGTGTAAATTTGTGCTTCTTGATATTTTGTAATAGGAAATAACAAATGTGTACCTTTTTTGTGTACAAGTTTCAACAGTTTGGCTTCAGTCTTTGTAAACCGTGTACTGAAGCAATAAAATGCCTAAACTCAGGCTGTGGGGAATTTATTTTGATCCGAAGTACGTCTAGCTTAGAGCATACAGTACTTGAAGAGAGTTAAGAGCTGTCTGGCTTTTGTTGGCACTCAGCTTCATAGAAAAATAAAGCATATGAGAGCGGAAAAGAAGACAAGTTTGTGTGTTTTCTTGACCCTGAGATGCATTATTTTTAAATATAATGCACTAAATCCATCCAGTCCAATCCTACCTCACTGTCAGGTGGCTGCTGCTTATGGACACATTAATATAAAGTAGCAGTTCAAAATAGTCTGTCTCTCCTGGATGATTCATAAAGGCATCTGTTATGACGTGGAGCAGCTGCGTCATATATTTCTATTAACACCTGACTTTAAAAGGCTGAACCTGCGACTGACGAGAAAAAACTATTGGATGAAGACATATTTTTAGACCACAATGAGTGAAAGCTTGATAAATCAGCTCTGACCTACAGTAAGGGGATGTGACATGCTCAGACTCAATAAAGAAGTTGCTTTCCTCTGAGGAATATCACGGGAAATCCATCATGCGCTGTTTTAATTAGTTCCCCTCTCATCCTATGATTCTGCAAGTCTGATGTCTTAATGAAAACACTTTGCACATACACTGTAGATGTTAACTTTCAAATTACTGGGCATGCTTAGTGTGACAGGAACCCGTGTTATAGTCTGATAACATCTACTGTAGTTCTTCTACTTTATTGCAGTTTTGTACTTGGGGTATTTAGGATCCACACTGCACAATTGTGAATTGGGACGAAAACCAAGGCCTGTGAAGAAATACCCCATAAACATTCAAATAATTGCACATAATACACCTAATATTATGTGTTATCTGGTAGTCAAGAAAGTTGAAAAATGTCAAGTTTAGAAAATCTGATATATTAGGGAGATATTTAGCCTTATTTGGACTCCATAGGTCAGTGGCAGGTTTGATTAAGGCCCTGACCCGAACCTGAGTCTTGTTTCAAGGTCCTAGTGACTATCAAATGTCAATATCTGTGTGAACATAACCTTAAAACTGCTCTAATCAATTTTTATATTCACAGTAGATTTCATTACCGTGCGTAATGGGAAAGGGGTCACTCGTATTGACCACAGAATTATCACCTGACTCTCTGCAGTTCCTCTCATATCTATGGGTTCTTTTAACATCATTTGATTTTATGGTCCGCAACTTGAGTGAGAGCTATGAGAGTGAAACAGCAATAGACATGAAACAGGAGTTTTTTTTTTTTTAAAAATGTCCAGGTTTCCAGGATATTTGGTCTTTTTAATCAATTTCCAAGTGTTTCCATGACTGGAAGGCTAGTCTCTAAATTTCCAGCTTTTCTAGGTTTCTAGGACACGTGGCAACCCTGTAAACAAATCCTAAATATTAAACCACAGCTAAGCTAACGACAGAGCAAAGGCCCCAATAGCTTTGGTGAGGATATGTCAATGTTTAAAGCCTGCTCTACTACCCCCAAGTTGCCAAAATTTCAGTTAATGCAGCATTTTAAAGCAAGTAAGCAAAGCAAGTAAGCTTTAGTGCAAGTAAGAAGAGAAGGCCTCATGTGTTAAGAGCTTAAGAACATGGTTAACATAGCTTTGCATAAAGGGACATGGTAGTGGGAAACACAAAAATATGTCTACCCTCACCTGTAGAGCTGGCTAACGGGTATTTTGTTAGATAGCTAACTGTACCAAAGTACAGAGGCAAACTTTGTATAGTCTGAACAAACCGTCTTTAACACACTCGGTGTGAACATGCCCTCAGTGTTTGTACAGCCGAGCTGCCATGTTCATGAAGCAGGTGTGATGAAAGGAGGGAGGGCTGGTGGCGGTGGTGGGGGCTGATCAGGAAATAGTGTGGGGAAATCTAATTTATTTTTCATACGCTTCTGAGATGGAATGTCATATATCATGCTATGCAGCAATTTTGTGCCAGTCCCGGCCTCACAAAAGATGAAAGAATGGTGATCAAAGATACAGAGAGAAGTCAGCTGCTGGAGTTGCTATGGGATCCACTTCCACTGAGAACAATATAAACTGTGTTGAAATAGTCATCCAGTATACTGTCACTGCTGGTGTTCAGCATGGGACAACTCACTTCAAACATTTTACACAGGAGGCAACAGGAATGAATACATTTTTCTGTCATATACACACTTGGAAGTGATGTTAGAGAAACAGTCCAGGGAT